TTACTTGTAGAATTCAAGTAAGAATCATGCTGATTTTATCTATTCTTTTTAAAAAGCATGCTGGAAACTTTAATCCTTTACCTAGTTAATATTGGTGTATGCAAGCATGCAAGGAAAAGCTGGTGGAAAACTGCAATTGCTGTGAATTATTATAATATGGCCAACTGAACACACTACAATGCTTTCACAGAAACTGGGTTTATACAGCTCTTTTCACACTGAGAAACAAGATTTCTTAGCATAGTCTCTCTCATGAAACAAAAAATGGAAACATATGGTCAGAAGAAGTTTATGCAAAGGTTAGTTAATCTGGTTGCTCAACTCAGACATGACAAAGGGGAATATAAGATCCAGGGAAGAATTCATGTTCATCAGCCAACAAATCTAAGTTGTCCTTCTGCTGCTAGAGTAGGCTGACAGCAACTGCAGCAGGTTCTCTATGCTGAGCATAGAAGGTTCCCTGAGTAACAGCTCTGGGGGCATCCACCTGGAACAGTTGTGGTTACAGGCTGGGGGCAACAGAGTGATAGCAGGACCAGAGACTTTTCATAGGAGGCATTTTGGATTTCTTTTTTTCAATTGACTTAGTAGGTTGAGGTACAGCATTTTCCTTCTTGTAAGCAAGATGCTCATTCTGGATTCTTTTCCTTCTCCCTGAATACTGCAGCTGTTAGAACTGGGCTAGACCACAGATTAAAAAGAAAAGTATTTGTGGGGTTTTTTTTACATTATAATTTTCTCTTACATCACTGATTTTCTGTTAGGTTATTTCTCTAATTTGTCTTCCATCTGGTCCTTATATCTGGAAAAATTTACTTCCTTGACAAGATGAGGAAGGGAATAACCATGTGTGGAAGCATTCAGACTTTTCTCTTTCTATTCAAGGCTCTAAGAAGCTACAAGCACATTATTTTTAAATGCTCGATGATCTCCTGCATCCCCAGTAACAAAACACATAGTATGTGCCAGTAGCTGAAAGCATACTCTGAAAGTTAGCAAATACATGTTATAGGCATGTGATCTTTACTTTCCAAAATTTATCTTCCATTTTCTCTCTAAATACTTTTGGTCAGTGGAAAAAGAATGGTCAAAGGAAAATGAGCATCTGTTATCCAGACATCAAACTCATATGCAGCCAAAAATATTCCTCTGGCTTTCAATGTTAAAGGAAAATGTAACTACATGATCTGTTAGCAGTTGGAGGGGGTATAAAAGGGAAGTTGCTTAGCAAAAACAAGTGAACTAATGGAAAATTATCTTTTAATACTCAAAGTATGTATTTTTAAGAAATTTAATAATTTAGGGTTGGACATTTTTCAGGTAAGTGAATATGACTGTGTGAATGGCTATTTAGCAAACAAGATTTCTCAGAACAGGAAGAACCTCTGGTTACTTTACTAAACTTTCATCCTCAGTGCACAACGAGAGAAGAGACTGCCATGCTCAATTCGAACTAAATCGTCCCCACTTGATCTGGCAGCTTGTGGGCTTCAACTTCCAAGGTGGAAGTGGGGTAAGCAAACTCAAAAATGTCATTGCCAAGTGAGCCTGTTGCTCACCTTAGCAGCAGTTGCTTTACAGTAAAAGGATTTATTCTAAAAATCATTGGTACCAAGTTCTACATCCTTTTGTCCCAATAGCACTGCTGAAGACAATGCAAGTGCACCATATGAAATCGACACCATGTAAATAATTATTTTATTGTGTGTTGTACTGTTTGCTCAAAAGGACTTAAGATTTTATAGTTAGAACACTCACTTCCATTGTACTTATTCTAATTTCTAAATAAAAAAATACCATCTTTCTACTAATTTCACTGGATGTCAGATCACACTTTAAGTCAGCAGTCATGCTGCTGTCTGTTAATCATACAGCAAACTAGCTCAAAGCAAGCAAATTTTTGATAAAAAGATAAACAAGATATTTTAATGATTTTTTTCATTATTTTTAGGAGTTCAGGATTTGCTCAGATCATCAGCCACAAAACTCTGACATTCAGAGGCCTTACATGTCTTTTAAACACGTTTAATATTTTATTTTAAAATACAACCAAAACACAGTCTAGAAAGACGCAAAACCAATACAATTTCAATTAAGGTTTACTTACATAAAACATTTTTATATATAATTTATTTTAAAAAAATACATTGTGTCATCGAGGGAAATGCCAAATTAAAAAAGAATCTGCCCCACCATATTTCTGACCCAGTATATTTATAGCTACAAATAACATTTCAATGGCTGGCTGATTTACAAAATTAAGAGAGATTTATTTTCAACATGTTTTTCTTGAGCAAGAGACAGCCTTCTTTGTACAGTCACTTTCACTACAATTATGTTTCCTCATTAGTTTAAATGGATTAACATATAAACAGGAGGTAAAGACTGTTTTAAGAGAAAGTAAGAAAGGTGGTTGTGAAAACTGGTAGCAAGAACAGCATTTGCTATTTTTAAGTAGATTTACTTTGCATTTTCAGTACACCAATAATCAATGGTGGTTATTTAGCTCACTTTTAGAAACATAAAACCCAGTATCTATAGAATAGCACTCTAAGCTGAACTTTAGTGTAAGTGATCATCAATACCTAGAAAATCAAAAGCACTTGCTGTCTGTATAAATATCCTTTTAAAGAATCACTTCCAAATTGCCTTGAATTAGAATGTCATGTTAAGATCATTTTACCTTACACGAATATATTTAACAAGTTACCTGTGATTTGGGGAATGTTTCAGCCCTTTTTTGTTCAAAAGAACGTATTTTAGCTTCACTCATCTTATCTGAGTCTGCAAAAACATAATGTCTAGGAGAGTAGGACTCTGACAAACAGCTAAGTAACCTCAGGATTTCTGTTGTGTGCCCACCTGCAAAACCAAAACAAACTGCAATTAGTATATGGGAAATTTTGTAACTTTCCATTTTTTCAGCTGAATCGGTCACTTTTCCTTTTAAAATGTGTTAGTACTACTGCTTTCAGTGATGCTCTCCTGAGAGGATTCAATCAGAGGATGATTAAGACTAAATGTTTAAATAATGTGGAGATAATGCACTGAAGCTGTATTGATGGATGTTTTTCAGCAGGGACTGTACTATCCCAGCTCATAATACCGAAATGAACTGGGCAGCAGTTTCACTCGCAGCCGCTCCAGTGTAACAGCCTGGTGCCGACAAAACAAACAGTCCTGCTCCCGCGGGGCGCTCTGACCACTGCCCTTGAGCAGGTGTTCACAACCTTCCAACTGCAAGGTCACTTGATTCAGGGAGCTAAACTGGCACCAAACTGGGGAGGAAGTACTAATTCTGCTTTTTATGGGGCAGGGTTAATTTTTTTTTGTCATTTGAGCTTCCTGAACTGCAGCTACAGCGATGCTGCAACAGGGAAAGGGAGAGAAAGAAGACTGTGTGCACAGGTGAACTGGAACGGGCTCACCTTTTATCTGTTGGACTGGATCAGCTTGACATCAAACTGCACTTATGCTATGTGTATAAGTATTTACTGGACACGTTACTTTGCTGGCATTTACAGACCAAAACAGCAAACTAAATGTGTTCCTACTACCTCCTGCTGACCAGGGTCAGCAGGCTCCTAAGAGACCTGTTACACAGGTGAAGCACTCGTGACTGCTGAATGATTGACAAGCAAGGCAGGTGTGCCCTTTTACAAATGAGAGTTTGCCACCTTTCCACACAATTTCATGCTGTATTTTTCAAATATGTTTGGAGGTATTTTCTTGTGAGTAACGTTTGTTGAAGGTTTCACAAATTTTAATGCAATCATCTGAGCATTCACATAAGAGTAGGAGACTCCTACTTAAAGTCTCAAATAGTCTTGAACATTACATGAATCTTAACTGCCATGAATTATTTCACCTGGTAAGCTTATATATAGGGAAAGTACTCTTTTAATACAGACAAACTAGATTCCAAAGGACTAAAGGAAAACAAGCACATTTCCAGCCCTAGTGGAAGTAAAGATGACTTGAAGAATTATAAAACTGCCAGTGAAACTCAGATTGCAGGAAGATCCTGAGACCATTACTCAATTAGTTGGTGCACAGAAACCAAAGGAATACTGATGTGATGAAATCCAAGCTGGCCTGGATTTGTCAATTGCAACTTTTCGAATTAGTTTTTCGGGGCAAATTGACTGCCCTGCAACTTTGGGGAGGAGGTAACAAGGAGTAGTAAATGTGTGTGCCCCCCTTAGCATGGGGTGACACACTTGCACAGCTGTACTGCCTCCGACGGACCCATGCGAGGCTCTTGTGAGTAAATCACAGGAACGTGGTTTGGGTGAATTACAAAACGCCACGTATGTCAGGGGTGCGCCGATCGTTGGAAAGCCATGCCCTGCACCACCATCAATAATTTTTCGTCAGCAGACTAAGCAGCTGCACAGGTCAGTCCTGCACCAGTTTATCGATACACTCGGGAGTGACTGGAGAAATGCACGTGCTGCCGGAGGGAAAGGTTCTGAAACACGGACGAAAACGCCCCACATGAAGACGTAGCCTAACAGTTTCTCAAATCGAGCACTAAAAAACCCAAAGACAGGCGGCAGCGCGGAGGGGGCCCGGCCCGGGCGGGCTGCGAGAGCTGTCGTGGAGGGACCATGGCACCGCGACTATAGCTCCCGGCATGCACCGGGGCCTACCGGCGGGCGCCGCACCGCGCTGCAGTGCCCGGGACTCGCAGTTCCAGGAGCACTGCGTGGCCGCTCTACGGCGCCATCCACTTCCGCTGGCAGCAACCCCTACCACCGGAAGCCAGCACACCACGGAGACTGAGCGGAGGTGTCCGCCGGCCGCTGCGCCTCCTGGCCACGAGCGCCAGCGGGCGAGCAGTAAGGGAGGAGCGAGGAGGGCAGCCGGCTCGCAGGACTCCATGGCGCGGCCGGGGCCGCTCCGCGCGGAAAGCGGCGGTGGCACCTCCCCCGTACGGCGGCCCGGCGCGGTTCAAACCTCCTCGCGCCGTGAACGCGGTGGGGGTGCCGGGAGCGGTGCGGGGCTGAGGGCGGCAATAAAGTATGAGGGACTCCCTTGTGCGGGGTCTGTGCTCCCCGAGTGTGCGGAGTCTGTGTCCCCCGCGTGCCTGAAAAATACAGCATGAACCTGTGTGCCGGTCTGTGCTCCCGCCGTGTGCCGGGTGTGCTCCGCGCTCCTGCGAGCGCGGTCCCGGAGCTCCGAACTCCTCCGTGCGGGAGCGCGACCGCGAGTGTGGGCAAGAGCTGGCGCTCCCAGGGCCCTGCAGGGGCTGCGGTCTGCTAGACGAGGTCGAACTGCCCTAATTCACCTGTAAACCGAGACATGCGTGCCGCAGCATGTGTCTGTCATGTGGCTCCTCTGGCACGTACAGATTCCTGCATCAATTTGCCAGCGTGCGCAGGCATAACACCGACCCAGGTACGTATGCTTGCATGCAGTTGTAATTTTCTATAATGCATAAAATGAAGGATATTAACACTTCAGTGCCTGTCGTGACTCCTGTTTTCATTCATTCCAATACTTTAGCTTTTTATTTCAGTAAGAAGCGTGGAGCAACAGATCAGCACTCTTTTTGTCCCTGTCAGCATCCGCTCTTTGTTGGGAGATAGCGATGATTCAGCCACCGGACTAATCTCAGATGAGATATCTGTTTGCTAGAAAGAGTAAGATATTGCATTTTATGATTAGGAAAGAGTTTGTTCATCACTGTTCTTAAATTATTGCCAGGGAGCAAGGCCATCCTTTTGGCTGATGAATCAGGAGTAATGAACTCTGGAACTTTATGGAGCGGTTTGACACCAGTGCTTTATAGGCTGAGTTGTCACACATATGAAGCATGACAGCTGAGCACTTGTACCTCAAGTGCACAAACAGAATAGATCAAACACATTGCAATTCTGCATCTGCCTGCCATGGTTTTGAGGGCTGTTTTTTCCCTTCTTATTCGTTCTAAGCAAATTGGACTTTTTGTATCCCTACTGGCCTTGGAAGCTGAATGTTTCTCATTTTTAACAAAAATGTGCCAGTTGTGGGTTCCAGTGGTTATTGTGTAACATGCAATTAAATGATCCGTGTTCTAGCTATCCTTTGTCATCTTAGGATCTGAAGTGAATCTTTCTGATTCACGCCTTGTAGTTCTACAGATTATGGTTTTTTTCTTTACATCAGTGTAACATATAATTTTGCAGTTGTTTTAAGCAGAGACTATTAAAAACAATATTACCATGGTAAGCTTGTCTTCCACCCAAATGAGTAACCTCACAAACAATATTTCACTACCTAATCGTTGTTGACATTTTGGAGCAACAAGGTTTTAGTTAATAGTTCTGTTGATGATGCATGAATTTTAAAAATTCATTTTGATTTCCACTTAATTAGCTACATAAAACTAATAAGTAGGGACAATAGAGATGGATGTCTCTCAATGACAGAAGAGGAAGAAAGTACCACAGTCCCTTTCAGGACATAAACTACTATGTTAAAATAAGCCAGTAAGTTCCATAGACAATTTAAGTATTAATTTTGACTGTGGTGATCTTTTCCCCACTTGTACGTTCTTCAGTGAAAATAATGTCATTGATGTAGAATTTAGCCCACGTTGCCACATTGGCTGTAGCTAGCAAATGTTTTATTTAAGTTGGTTTTTCAAGATTTTTCAAGATCTTTCCTTTGCTCTTATATTTTCCCTACCATAAATGTTAAAGAACTGCTTTTTATTAGGCATTTTATTCCAAGAAACAATCCTGAAAACAGTGGCAAGGAGTGACATAAAAACCTTCAACTTCTTATCTCCTTTTCATGTTATTTCTTCTGTATGTACATACTTCTCCTTCCAATGCAAAATTCTTCTGTAAAGCTATTTGGTGAAATTAAAGAGAAACTGACCTAAAACCAGTGAAGTTGGAAGTTTCTGTTTGGTTGTTTTTGTTTTGGGGGGTTTTCTTTTGCTATGTAAGTTATTTAAAAACAAGAGGAAAAAATAAGAATGATACATGCAGGGAAATACCTCTTCCTTGGAGTAGAAAATTGAGGATCTGAGAAATCCTTGGATGTAAAGCAAAGTTGCTGACATTCAAGGAGTCTAAAAAGCTGATCAGTGAGTTTGCCTCATAAATTCCTACAACAAGTGCTTGAAGTCATCTAACTCATTGTTAATGCTTCTAGACTAAGGGATTTAGCTTTCAAGTGGTAAACACGGAAGATTGCAAGGCTTGAGGGGAGAGTCAGAGTTTGGTAAGACAGGTTAAAATAACTAAAGACTGAAGCAACAATCTGCAACCTAGTTGGAATAAGGGTTTGTGGATTTTTTTTTTTTCCCTTGGTGAAAATTGAGCAGAGCTCATGAAGATCCCACTTGCAGCATAACACTGCTAATTATGCCTTTTCTCAGTAGGACATAGGTGTATTTGTGTTTTTTCATCGTGGCAACTCCCTGCTCGCTTGATATGATGTTCTTGGACATGGTAGACTTGAGTCTGAAGCTGCAACAGTCACGAATCAAGCAGTTGCTCCTACTCCTTCAGCTGTGCCGTGTGCTCCGCGATTGATCTTGATCCATGAAGTGCCTTGAGAATTCTTCATCTCAGCATCAGACATCCATGTGAAAGTTAGTGTGAAAAGCAGTGACTCTCCCCAAGTTTAGCACAACATGGTCATGTTAGCTAAGTAACACGAAGCAGGTGAAGTACAGGACTACTGTGAGGACTAGTGCTGGATCCTGCTCTCCAGTCTGCAAATCAACAATACTACAAGTGAGTGTGTGACCTGCACGTTTGGGAGGAAGCAGTGCACTTGGTCTGAAAAGTCATTTGTCAGAAGGTGATGCAAGTGCAGTAATTACAGAGGCTGCCTCTGGTACCTCTGCTACTGTTGCATGAAGTTAGCTTTGAACTTCTTTACTGAAGGAGAAGTAAACTACACTTACTCTAAATACTTGATCACTGTTGTTCAACTCTGAAGCTCTTAAATAGGAAAAAATAGGTGTAGTATTTTTTCCATGTACTGCTTGTGAGACAATGTTCCAAAGAAAAACCTGCTGCCACCCTTTTAATGTTAGAAATGCAAGCTGCATCTGGAAGACTCTAAGAGTAACATTATCATGAGCGTTGTAAAAACTTTTGTGTTTGGGAAGGAAAGGAATTTTTAATTAAATCAGTGGACTAGACCATTTGGAATCAGCTGAGTGACACGATGAAGCAGGCAGCTGATAAATATATAAGCTACTGGCTGATCTCACTTGAAGGCAGAATTAGGATGTTATCAGAGCCAATCTGGCAAAATTTGTCCCTTTTAGCAGCAGGTACTTTCAATTACTTTGGGCCCAATGCAGTTTCACTTTCGTATGAGTCATCAGAATTATACGAATGTAATCTTAGAAGTCCTGATTTGTATTTGTAATCAATAACAGCTGTAATATTTGTGTTGGAGTTAGTGCTGTGCTTCTTGGTATAATGGCACTTGTATATAAATTGTAAATTATGTCTCATTTAGACACAAAGATACAGCACTTGCAAACACTTAAACCAATGCTTTTGCTAAATAGTCAAAAAAGTGGAGCCAAATTCTCCAAATCATGAGACTTATTCCATACTAAAAATCCTAAAAAAATTTATTTTTTTTTTCCACATTCACATTCACTTTAATTTTCAGTGACAGACAGCAAAGTGGTTGTGAGTTTACAATAACTCAATACATAAGGTATCCTTCCCTCCTACTATTTAAACATTTCCCTCTTGTTGGCAATGTTGTTTTCTGCATATAGTCTTTGGAAGTGGGGGAAGAGGTTGTTTTTAAAAATTTGTTTGGGTCTAAATACCATGTATGAATATAGAATCAAAGTACCAATTTTTAGGGAAAATGTTTTCTCTAATAGGCATGAGCCATGATGCTAGCAGATGTTTCTTTAACCTGCTACATCTGAGAGCATATATGGAGGGCTGGTGAGCGTGGCTTTGATGACACAAGGTTTGGTAACAGTTTGGGTGCATTCTGAGTGTGCTTTTATGAAGCAAGAATTTTAGCAGCAGACAGAACCAAAATTACATAATGCCACTTGTAATTACTGGGTAGCATGTTCAGGGAGCAGTTCCTGTAACATAATATAAAATAATGCTCTTCTGTCTATTCAAAAGACCAGGAGAAAGAGACTGCTGTTTTACTCAAAACTACTGAGTGTTGTAGAGGTCCTTTGGGTGCCTCAGGCCACTCAGCCTGTAAAAATAAGGCCTTTTTAAAAAGCATTCCTAAAAATAGACTTGAAGTCTGATATTAATCTCCTGGAAATATATCTTCAGATCTGTAGTGTTAAATGAAATTTGCAGGGTACTCAGAGGTTAGAATGTAGAAGTCATCTACATATTCACTGATGCTTTTTGACTGGGGTTTTCCTGAGCTTTCCACATAAGCATCTGTAAGGAGGATGAGGAGAAATGGACATTCGTTTAGCCTTTCCTGGATTCCTGCTGTCAGAAAACTGGCCATTGCTTTTGCAGGGAGGTAGCCTGGTCTCATCTATCAGCTTGTTTCTGTGCACAGCTCTTCCTCTCAGACTGAAAACCAGGTAGTTGTGAGGCTGGTGCTGCTGTCACAGGTCATGTTCTGGATTTCAGTGCTCAGCCCTCAGGATTCTTAGGTTTGAGAAAAGGGTGTCTTGCCCTTCTGTGTTCTCTGCATCCTCTCTTTCTGAGCATACAAAATGCAGCAGAACTGACACCCTCCAACGTAAGGACAGGTTCTTGAGTTAAAAGTGAGGACAGTTCTCTGAGCTGTTTAGGTTTCTAAAGGTCTAGCATTGAATTAATGACATGCTGGAGCCAGAAGGGGCTGGTCATATTAAAAGAGAAGATGAGATGTGTTCTGTTTTTGTTCCTCACTGTCTTTCATTTTCTTTTCCTCCCATTTTTCTTCTGTCTTCTCTGTATGCAGTTGTGTTTAAAAATGTGTCTTTTATTGACCATTGTTTTGCGAATGCTGCCAGATATGGCTGTAGGTTTGGGGATTTAACCAAGTTCTATAAAAGTCAATTGAATGTAATGACTCCACTAGCTCTCAATGAAGATAAATTGAATTCTTTGTAGAGTTTGCAAGTGCTGCCAAAGGTTTCTCATTTATTTATTTTAATTTCTGTATGTTTGTGTATAATTCTTGCAACACAAAATATTAAAATTTTGAAATGTGAAGGTCCTTCTATTGCTTCCATCTCTTAGTTAAAAATATGTAAGGTGTCAAGCACGGCAAACCCTGTTAAGAAAAAGCTGACACAGTTAAAAGTCCAGCTATGGCAAATATAACTTGCCTTCTGCACTGTACTTTAACAGTCTTTAATTATGTGATAACATAAAATTTAAAACAAGATACCCCTCACTTACATTTTTTTCATCAACCACAGGTGATGTGTAACACTGTTCTCTCTATGTTTG